ATCAAAACGCCTGCCATTTGATATAAATAAATAAAGTTCTAATAGTTATTGTAAATAATCATTCAGGACGTTCTCCAATTAAATTATTAATTCTCTGTTTTCTTTATAGTAAAACAAATTTAAGTGTTTTAAGTTGTTAATAAAAACTATAAGAATGATAATGGAAAGGAATAGAGATTACAATCTTTTTACCTAGGTAAAAGGACTTACAGAATCCGAATTGTTCAACGGTTTTGCCAGACAAACAAGATCAGGTTCTTTTGTCGATGATGCTATTGCCTATTAAAAGAGGAAAGCACATTTTTAGCAAACTTAGGGAAACGTTTGACGATTACAAGAAAACAATTGGTGCAGTTCAGCACTAACGTGCGCAATCGAAATGATACATGATGTCCACCGACACCTCTCTCATACTCACGACTTCCTTTGACTTAAACCTTTTCGCGTCTTAGCTTATTGGATCCTTCTGTCCTCATAACTTCCGTTGAGTTAGAAATAAAAGATCAATGTTACTTAAGCCTAGACCACTTTGTTGAGAAGTAAGATTTCTGTGAATAAAAACTAGTTTTTAATTTATGGTCTGATGAGGGAAAAAACTAGGCCAATCATACCCTTCCAAGACTTAACGTACTTCACTAAAATAAAGCGAAGAATTAGTATCCGTCTAGTCAGTAAAGATTGGATATAGTGGGCAGGAAGTCCCTCAACAATTCACATGATAACTTAACTTAACTCAAGACAATTTTCACTCGTCTCCAATCATCATTTAGCTAATCAAAATCTGCATTTCTTCCTTCCTGCGGTTTACTGTAACGTAACGTTTATGTCAATGGTATTTCGGATCACCGATGCATTAAATCACACCCAACTGCATGAATAATTCAAACGCGCTACTACTTTTAAATAAGTAGTACAAAAAAGTAATAAGTGTTACCTGCATTATTTCGTCCGTTGTAAAGCAAATAAAATCATCTGGTGGCTCCATTTCATCTGAAGAACCTGACGATGTTTCGCTTAAGTCACTTGCATACGGTGCCGATGGTTCACATAATGCTAAAAGTTAATTGAATCAATCACAATTTATCAATATTATCTGTTACTACACAACATTAAGTACTGAGTTACCCTTAATTGTCAATCTTTATAGATCTCTTCGTAATTTCCCGTAAGTACTGAGTAGTTTTTACAAGTTGAACGAACTGTGGTGAATTCAATTGTAATAAAGTCGTGTTGGCATCAGCTTTTACTTCAAGAAGTCAAATATACTCCACTCATTAGAATCTATTGGGCACTAAGTTAAACAGCACTACCTTCTTATTGAAGCAAACATTTCCGAAACTCCAAAAGAGGTCTCCTGAACTATTTTTTTTATTCGGATGAAAGTCTACTTAAGCGAATAGGTATATTGGGGAAATAATCTTTCTATAACTAGCTGACAGATTAAAGTGATTATCCTAACTTATTTTGTAATCATCCTCTATTTGATACAGAAAATAAATTTACTCAAAATCTTAATTATACATGTTAACTTACAATCATCATCGGGGAGGTAAATTTGTTGATAATTCTCATAATCTAAAAAAGGGATAACAATCTAAGTTCTCTACTAATATTTTTAAGTAATATACATTCAAAACGAAAACATCGAAGAGAGTAAGCAAACAATAGAAGTATGCAGGTCACAGCGTAGTCGAATCCACAGGAGAGTCATTGGAGTTAATATATTTGTAATAAGTGCAAATTGTACCCAAGTGAATTGAAAATACTCCTGTTCTTCTACACTCTTGCAACACTATTTTTGCAAGTATAGACCCGGTATTAATGTAATTGACAAATAGAAATGTCACAATGCCACCCTACGAGTCTGATTAAACCCCTTAACGCTAGAATTACTTTTCTAAGAGATTCATCCAACAGCGTTCATGCGTGTCTCACGGCGGACTGATTTCGCCGACGTGGGTAGTTTTGGTGGTACCAGGAGAAGGCTATAGACGTATTGAGCCCGTCTCAAACGACAATAGGGCCTTCTGTTAAGAGTCAAGTAACAATGGAGCTTGTTTTAAAAGAGGACCGTAGGGTATTAAGGGCGTTAAAGAGCTAATCTATGGATTATTATCTATAGGCACAGTTCTTCTGCAACCAGTTAACCCTAACCTTGTTCAAATCAAGTGTGCAAGTTAATGAGTTACTTGAATGCAAACTGAGGCAGCATCACCAACAAGTAAAAGAAACAGGCAGACAAATTAGAATATCAATGGTTACCCAAACACAATGTCTCAAGCTAGGGTGAGAGAGTAAAAACCACCATGGTATGATGGTCGCTTCCTCCCAATTTTGCACCTATTATGCCTCCTGACCATTTTATATTTTTCATTATCCAATAGACCTCTATATTGCCTTATCCATAAATATTTTCGATAACACACACTTCCTCAGATCAAGCCTCCTGTAACTGAGATAATCAATGATATGTTTCTAATCTGATCTTTTCAATTAAAAAGGCCATAAATCATTGTGAACCCATCATCTCCAACTTAAGTGGCGTATGCGTCAAAGGTATCGCATCGAGGCCATTGAAGTTTCAACAAACATGCATTTTCGCACCAATTTATAATCGTTAAGACAAGATAAGATCATTACTAATCGAACTGAATCTGAAACTGGCATATCAAATTTTTGTTTTCAATGGGCTTGAGCGAAATTCAATAGCCATATATCTCTTATGAATCAGAACCTCCATTTCGTGACTTTAGTGCTCATATCCGTATTGTCAATTGTATTGTGATTCCAATCATTGCAAACTTACAAAAGCATGCATTAACACAATGAAATGCAGAACTTTTTTACTACCGATCATTCACCCTCTTCCTTGTGAATTTGAGCTACTGCAATTGTGATTTCTCCCCTATCATAGTGTGGAATATGGAATGATTGATGCCTAATTCCCCCCCCCCTTCCTCTTTCAATACCAGACGCAATCTCGACGGCCGTCTTCTGGATCATTCGACGTAGTTCCAAATACGCTAAAATGACTATACAATAAGTCATGTTAATGTCGATGCGAATGGTTGCTACCCAGAATTGTTGGTAGACGATTCCCTAGTAAGATCCCCAGTATTGATTGATCAGGGTATTTAAATAAACTATGGCAGATGGTTAGTGTTTCCTCATATGTTAATAGTGAAATCTGAGATGACGAAGCCAATATCCCACAGTCAAACATTTACCAACCCCAATGCATCAGAGGTCGAATAAGGCCTGAACGTATTTCTTTATTCAGTACAATCAAACAGAGACCGTCTATGACTCACTCATTCTTTTAAATGCGCTTAAACAAGTTGCACTTAGAGCTATCACGCTTTTTCCTCGATTTCACACAGAGAGTGAAACAGCGGCATAAAAAAGAGAACAATCAGCCATGATTACTGATTTGTTTATATTGGAAATTGAGGGCGTGAGCTAATACAATTTTCTATCAAAGCGCCTGCCATTTGATATAGATAAATATTTGGGAGAAGCATTGAATACTTTCCATTTGTTAATATTCGCTGAGAAATTGAGAAATGAAACACTAGAAATCGATTAACCCAATCCTGTGCAGAATAGCTTTTCTTAATTCTATTCACTCAATAATAGCTAAGAACCAACCAGTCTGCCACCAAGTTGGCTGGACAGGGAATAGGGGGTTTTACTTCCTGAAAAGCAGACTGTTGAACATCGGGATCTTACAGAGTGAATATTAGCTCCTATAGGAAAGCAACTCCTTGCAATAAAATGACCAGACGCCGACACACAGTTGCTCTGGTGAACACGTTAAAAGGAATTATTAGAGTGATGTTACGAACTTCATGCTGCCCGCAAAGCCATCACCACCACCACACTGGAGCTTTGAGTGGTGAAAGAATTTAGAATATTTGAATTTCAAATAAGGCCCTAATGGTAGGCCGGCTTTACGCATATTCCAAATGTGGAAAAAGAAGGTAACCACACGATCGTCCCATTACACATTCATCACACTTTTGGTCAATAAATTAAAGTGATTTTCTAGCCACCTCCGAATTGTTTACCCTGAAAAATGCCTACCGAAGTACCTGTGGTTGTTTAAACAACCCACTAATCATTATATCGCATATGGGCCATTCTATACGACACATCGTACTTCTATTATAAATCAGTCCTTCTTAACGGCGAATGCGAAAAAGCATCATTACTGATTGACCTATGAAGGTGAGATGAGGGGGGGGGGAGTTTACTTGTCACATTGGCCACCACACTATTCTTCAGCAAGTGAGCATGTGATTGAACAAAATAGAGTTTTAACCTTATTAGTCGACCAGTTTCCTTATTGACTAGCCACTTCCGACTATTCGACAGCAGCGTGCTTGGTGGCATACATAAGTACTGAGACACGCAGGACCAACCAGCTTCTGATAGACTGTAGGTCATAATTATCTTCCAAATCTTTGCTTTTGATATATCGATAACAACACAGCATAGACCACTTAGTTGGAGTGCAGGAAGATCGCCCAGCACTCAGCTAATAAGTGTGCGAAAGATAGTGCTCAAGCCTATTTCTAAGAGTTAGACTGTCTGTCACCACCAGTACCCATGGTTACAAATATGAGTACATTCAAGAAACCCTTCTCCTCCCCACTCACATGAGTTCTCTGGAAAAACAGACATGACAAACGGGCCACTCAAAGCACGGCCCTTATTCCTGCTCAAGCATAAAAAAGATTAGTCAATCATTCTCTAGTTCTCTAAGAAGGGGTTGGTAATTTGGTGCCGTAATTTAATTGGTTTTACACTTTTCAGTCTTTGCAGGAAGCGGACTAAAACAGTGTTTATCGAATGACGTCGCAGCGCGTTCGGAGGCAGTTTGAAGTTTAAAAATGAATGGTAATATGGAAGTTTGGCGTAAAGATTAAGTAAATAAAGCAGCTTACTTATTTGTGGATGATGAATGGACGGATTTTGATCAAACGTCGCTACTTGTTCTGTCTCCGTGGCTGGTTCAGGCGGAGTTTCTTGGATTGGTATCACAGGCGGTGACAGAGCATTTCTTCCATACGATAGAACCCTGCAAAGGACAATACCCAACTGATGTTAACCATGTCAAAGCATAAAGTCTACAATTTCACATCATTGAAAGCAGCTAAGCCAAAATCAAGGATGGAAATTGGTCAAAAACTCTCTGAAGTACATGGGGTAAAAAGAAATAAAATTTTACTTCCTAAAGACTCTGAAATTATCAGGTAGAATGCGAATTTATGCCATTATAGCGGCATTGGTAGAGTGAAAAATTTTATGGGATTTATGTGATTCGCTTTTAAAACCAGATTTCACAACTCAAGTGGGTCTGTCAGTTCGCAACTGACTTTTTATCTTACCATATAACCACACCGACAAAGACCTTTTTCATTGTTGGCGGGCTTCTATTAAGCGAAAGGCAAATCGTACTAACTCTTTCTCACCGCGCATCCGCGTACATGTTGAGAAAAAAAAGCAAATTTTCGTATTTCTGGTAACTGAAAGTCCAATACACATGGTAAAAATTTAATTTCATTGTTGTGCGACAGCATAATAAAGCATTCATGCGTCATTACCTTCTTATCTCGGGGCGCGCAATAGACTTACCTCCACGTGATCCACCCTGGGCAACGTATATTCATACAGCAAAAAAGTCTATTAACTGGCAGTTGACTTCTCACTTCAAACTACCATCACCTCACTCGATGCCATATTCGACTACCACAGTACTCACCTCACCTTTGTTCTACTTTTGTGCTTGTCTCTTACATCTTTGAAACACTCTTCTGTT